CACAATTTTATTTATCCATTGCAAGATTTTTAGAGATAAAAATTTAATATTAAAAGTGAAATTATTTATAACTGATGGTGTATAATAGTATAATACATTTAGTTACGATTTATTTATTTAAACTAATAATTAAATCTTATTATAACTTCGAAGACACGTGTCGCTATCGTATTTTTTAGTAATTATAGACCAAAAATAATAAACATAATGATTAACATAGGWATTTAAATTATAATATATGAGTAGGTAATAACGATATTTAAATTATCAATTTAGTATACAGTTAAAACCGCAACAGTAAGACATTCTAAATTTAAATATTTTCGAGCTTTAGATGTATTTATTAATAACATAAATTTGCATTTTCTTCTAAAATTCAAAGAATTAAATTTAATACATCACAAATGGTTGAAACGAGACAGGAGAGGGCCAAGGTTATCTACTGATATATAATTACTAATTTGGTTAAGATAATAAAACTCATTTTTTTTTACCGAAACTATTTGTTTACACGTAGACTATTTGATTATCAAATATTATGGTAATCTAGAATTTCTGAAATATGGATTACAAATACAATATTATTTTTCTTTTTGTAGATTTTATGGTCAACGTTATAGCTAGGTACACTTAAAAATTATAAAACGAATGGCCATGACTCTGAACAATTTTTGCAACGGATTTCCACTTGTTTTTAAGAATGCAGTTATGTATGGTGATCCGCTTCACAATTAAAGTGACAATTTTTATGATATGCAATTCGATGAAAAATCGCACACTCAACATAATAACTTTACTTATTTTATCATAGAATCTACTTAAGTTTTTTAACGTATTTATTTTAGAATGATTGTGCTTTCAGTCACTATTCGTGATGTTTTTCGCAATTTTCTACGGGTATATGCTTTAGCGGCTAACTGTAGCCAGTAGGGGGGCCCCAAGTGGTAACGTTTTTTAATGACTTAATAATTTGGAAAACAAAAGAATTGTATTGTTTCAAAAATATGCTATTGTATAGTATTATAATTTAAAAGTGAATACGTCAAATTATGTATATATTTTTTTTTAATTACACGATAATTTACTGACAATAATTGAGTTTACCTGGCACGTCAAATAGATTATTACTCGGTAGGTACATAGTACATACATAGGTAATAGATACTTATTAAAATTCTTGCTACACAGGAACACGCAAAATTACCGAATTGATGGTTTGCTTTTCACCGATACCCATAAAAAAATTCACTCGTTACATTATAGATAAGACGTTTTATCTGTAATTTTGCCAAATTTACGCGTAGGAATAATTTTTTTAGTATTACCAAATATAGTTTACAAATCTGCGCGTGTCTGAAGATTAAGTTTAATGTTTGTGACATAATCTCTATAATTTACTTAAAATAGAATCAATTTGTTTTTCTATTTGTCCGGATTTAGGGTAGGGTAGATGACTTAAATATCATGATATCTCTATACCCGAATACCGTTTGAAACACGTGCCGTATAAATTATAGTATGCATTACTCGTAAGTCATTACCGATATTTAAAATTATTTTTCCACTTATCTGACTTTTTAGTTTAAGTTTTAAACTCACTCTGATATAATATAGTATTACTTTTTCCTTAAGAGGACGTCACACCCACACACGTGTTGTCTCCGTCTTACAAACATACATCATAGCAAAAACTGTTTTGTGCATCCAGACTTTATTCCCTCTGTATAGTGTATTTATTGCAGAATATAACCAAAATAATTGCGTAACGCATAGGGATAAGGACTTTTTATTATTTGCATAACATAAATGCAATTTAAGTTATCGGTTTAAAAATATTAGATTTTTCGTTTGGTTTTAATTAATTATATTTAAAGTTATTGGTTAGTATTATATTATATATATAAAAACGCTATGAACAAAGTTCTTCCCTATGCAATGTGGGATTTTGGTAATTCTGCAATAAATACAGAGGGAGTATACGTTGTACGTTTGTTAAGACGAAGATAATACAAGTGTGGCTTCTTTTTAAGTGGATGTGATACACACATATATTGTCACCGTCTTACAAGTGCGTAACATAGCAAATTTTATACGCTCAGCAGATCATGCACTAACTTCGTTAGTTTAAAAATCAGAGTGAATTGACCTGTCATAAAATTTAAAGATAAGAGTATTATTTAGACGACCGCATGGGCTTTTTATTATATTTCAATTTTGAAGCGAGTTACAAATATTTTTTTTAAATTGTAAATTGTTTGTATATCATAAAACACTCATAACTTGCTTTAAAATTAAAATATAATAAACAACCCATGTGATGACCTAGATATATTTATATAAGAGTTCAATTCACTTTAAATTTTAATCTAACGGAGCTAAACGTGAACTGATGAGGGTTAAATGTACTATGTTATACACTTGTAAGACAGAGACAACACTACGTGTCGGGACGTGGCGTTTTCTTAAACCTAAAATTACTAAAAGTAAATTAATAATCGATGATTATGCATTTGTATATTATTTAATATTATTTAAACGTTTACCTATTTTATTTATGTTATAAAATAAACCTATGCTGTAATGACGGACGTTTGGATAAAATATAAGCCAAAACAATAGTTACGTTCACATATAATAATAAAATTTGTTCAAAACGTCCATCGTTTGAAATTTCGTAAACGATCGACTGCGTCGATGTAATATTATTATTATACACGACCGCTGCGCCGAACACCAAATAAATAGGTATACCACTATTACCACTATTGTGTACGAGAACTCTGTCAGTATATTATTATCATCATGATAATAGTAATATAATAGTTAATATATAACATTATGATAATAATGAAATGATATACCGATGATTTGGTGTACGCACATGATAATATGTCTATATTAACATTTGACATTGGAATAGTGAGTACCACGAGTGTATATTATTATTATTATTATTGGTCGGTACTCATAAACATATGTTTATCGTTTGGTTAAGTAAATGATCGATTGCGTATGTGTAATAATATAATATTATTATTCTAAGCGATCACTGCGGTCAACGTTAAATCAATACCAATATTGTGCACGAAACTCTGTCTGCAGTTTGTATATAACTGCCATCGTCGTTATGATATATAGCTAATATAATAAGATACCGGAGGTACAATAACGATTCGAGGCGTTTGGGTATATTTCGAGTGCGGTAAATACCAGGAGTATACCTGCAGTGCGCGAGCACAGGAACCGCAGCATATACACATATATATATATAGACGGCTGTGAGTCGTCATCTGCAGCTATTTAGCAGCGATGTGCTGGTAAACGGATTCGTTCGATAGGTTTTTTAGCATTCGAACGCAACACATGGAGGTCGACAGAGATATAATCAATTTATAATAATGTTGCGTATATGCGGCATGCGATATGTGTGCCGACGACGTAGCTAGGTATATCATAATGTAATGCGCACCATAATAATATATAATATACGATCGTCGGCAAATATCCTTGGCACGGCCATATAATAATATAATAATAAAATGTGTACGACGACGACGACTATTATAATTATATGTATACTGCTCATATATTTAGGTAGGTAATTATACTATAATGATGCGACGAACAATCGTCCGCGATGAGCTTTCCTCCGGAGAATCCATCCGTTTACGGCGATCCGCAGCGAGACGGCAAAGACATCAGACCCATTCACCCCGTCCATCCCTCGCGAAAGAGGGTAGTTTGTCGAATAGTTAAAATATCATTACAGTCGAATGTCGATGACTCGAATAATATTTTCATCCCGTCCCTTGAAGCGTTTTTAACCGCGCGAACTTTGAGGTATTATACGTAACTCGAAAATACACGTCATGTCGAATTTATTTTCACTCCCCTTGCAGAGATTCGAGTCATCGAGCGAACTTGAATGTTTATTGTTGTTGGACCCGATTTATATGTATATATACCTATAGGTGCCCACGGTCTGCAGTCGAAGCATATTGTTATCATATTGTCATTATAATGGAGGTACGTACGTTCTGCGATAGTTATGACGGGTCCTTTTCATACTTATGTCTCGGCGTCGTGATTCTGTGATTACTGATGATGGATTTTAGGGTTTCGTGTAATATAATAATATTATACAGTGACTGGCCAGTGGCCGCTGAGCGAGTGCGAGTGCAAACGGGACTTAACCAGTAATCGTATACCGCAATGTCAGCGGAAGTAAATTCATCGCTATTCGTTCCGTATCCTCCGGCTATAAGCGAACGCAGAAGGCTCTC